ACATACCCTGTACCTAAAAATACCTATAAGAACATATTATATGCATAGATCTTCAAAAGACGACACTCTCATAATATTTAATTTGACAGTATTGTGGTCACAGGTAATTGTCGCATTTGTGCAGATACTAGTTCCTGGATAAGTGCAGTATATAAATGTATAATATATTAATAATTAACCAACCATATCAAAAATATTATGTTGTTATTGTTTCACTGATTACAACAAATAATACATCAACTGCTGACTTGTTATTGTATTCATGAATTGCTATTCGTATTCATTACACTATATTCATGATACGAATCGTATTCGTCTCATAGAGTATTCGTTGTAGCCCTAATATTCATGTCTACATGCACCAAGTGCATGTTAAAATTGTTTTGATTTTTATCTGACTAATCTGTACTTGTCCACACATCAATCTTTGAACACACTCAGTATCTCTAAGCTCTCTTGACCACATTCCATCACCAATCCCTGTGTTATGTGTAATTCATGACACCTGACACTGGCACAGTCATCAGGGATCTGAGATTTAGACTAGTTTATGCTTCTGTGTTTCTACTTTTATAAATTGATGGGACCAGGGTGCAACCTGGTTTTGTCTGTTGCAACTAGGTTTTCATGTCAACATGAACCTGTTGCAAGTTCTATAAAGTTCTCTAAATTGAGCCCTGTTATTTGCAGGGGTTGGATGATACACCAACTCCGAGATCCGATACGTATCACGATACCTTACTCATGATGAGCCGATATGTGCAACGATATTTGCATGTGCGAAAGCCATCTTTTTCATAGACAGGATGGCCAAAAGCCTGGCACACTGACGATTTGCAGTTGGCAGTTTCAAGTATGGCACAACAAATGAAAATATTTATGTTTTCACTATTAACTTGCACTACTGATTAGTGTTTAGTGGAACAGTTATTCAAGCAAACATTTCAAGGTCAGAAACAACATTTTTTACTAAGTGTGCAACTGTAATCGAAACTTGTATCGAGAAGTAAAAAATTGCGATCAACTGATGCATCGCTGTATCGTCCCACCACTATTTACATGGGATAGTGTTGATTTTTTTCATTTTTTCAAAACATATTTTTTTAACAATCAATTTGATGTTAATTTAGGAGATAAAAATTCTGTGTTTTCAAAGAAGAGCCATGTAACCTGCAAATGTAACCACGCTTAAACTTGTTCCTGTGGATATCACACCAAAGATGCTTTATGCTTCTCTTTTGTGATCAAGGATTGTAAATCAATGTATTGTATCACCATATAATGACACCACTATGTGGTGGAAATTGGCACTAGTTGTGTTGTCCTTGCCAAACTGCCCAATAGTTAAGGTATTAAGGACAAGTAGAAATTTGTCATTTTTAAGGGTTTTGCTGTATGTTATCATTATAATATAAGGACTAGTGGACAAAAATTGTTAGTTTCTACCACTGCACTACTATAAATATAAGCTTCCGCTGTGATGCAGATGTCGAATTTGGGAGTTTATTGTGATTTAATAGACTCTGATTGGCAGGACAGAATTGAGTAATTTCCAAATTGTTTGTTCCCTGGTTTGGTTTAAACATATTTACTTTCACAAAAGTGTGAAAATGGATTGGTAAACAAGCGAAGCGCTTATGTCAATACCGCTCCATTACACATAGGACATATTACAATAAATACATCAATGAAGGTTACATGTAACAAATGAATTGTACATTGTGTAAGGGTCTCTGCCCCCATTAGGTTTTCCATATACATATTCCAAAGTTGTGTTGTAGCTGGTATAAATGAATCTGCATAAGCTTTTGTTTTACACTTCACTGTTTGAAGATTAGTTTTATCCCTTAAGTCATAATTTGTGTTTTCCGAAACTGTACTAGGAATAAGCCTACAAAGATATTCAGGGGATAAATGGTTATTCATTTTGTAAAACATTACCAGCTTTAAATTGTATCTTCTGTCTTTTAATGACTTACAATTTGTTTCATTATAAATCTTCTGATGACTCGTACCACGGACAGGGCCACATATGGTTCTAAGAGCATCTGAGTGTAATTTTTCTAATAAGTTAGCTTTTTCATTAGTACGGTTGTCCCAAATATGACAACAATAATCAAAATAGTTTTGTACATAGTTTCTAAGGTAGTTCAGGATAGACGATATTTATAACTCCTTAAACAGTTAGCCAGAGGACAACATTTCCTTACAAAATCATCAATGTGCATTTTCCATGTACAATTACTTTGTAAAGTCTGACTGACTGATATAGAAGATTTAACGTGCGCTTTCCGACTGCAGCGTATTTCGCACACGGGCCGGGCCAGACCATTTAGTGTATTCCGAGAAGGGTGAAAGTTGTGTGTGCAACACAAGAGGGGGCTTTTAGGGGTTGCTTATATCGATTTTTTGAAATTTTAAAATTTTAAAGTGTAAAAAAAAGTGTTTTAAAATTTTGTAAAGTGTTCCTGATTCAGAATTTGTAAGCAATCCTTTTGATAAAACTTGTTGTACACTGAAATATTATGTGATGCCAACGGCTATTTTAATTATTCATTAGTTCAAATTCATTGCACTTTGCTATCAAGCATAGATCACTGATCTCAGATGACCCCAATAAATTGTCCATGTCAACAGGTCATGCTGTCAGTCATAAATAACAATTATGAGTACAGCTGAGCTTTGACAGTTGACCAGTAGTGACCAGGACTAGTGGTCAGTTTAGTAGTATTGACCACCTGCCAGGGGTGTCAACAGTCTCTGGGGATTACACACAATCTCTCGCTCTGCTCTGATGAGATTTCAATAGATAATTCTTTTGACATGTGTTGAATGCCCTCCAGATGGTGAAAGGGCTATCAGGGTCACACTCTCATTGGCTGATACAGGAAGCTACTTACATCTGATTGGCTGGTCTCATTATGACACCTGCCAGTCAATAGCCTCAAGTGAAGTTGATGGGGTGTTTAGAGGTAATCACATAGCCAGAGCTTGGACTAGCCCATCCACACCCTTACTGTTCAAACAATTTTGATTGAGACTTTGTGTCTGAAGTGTCACCTCATTAAGTGCAAAATGTCTGGACAACACATTGAAACCAAGAGCCTGATTGCATCTGAATGAATGCAGCACTACCTGTAAATGCCACTTGAATTACATAAAAACATGTGTTCAGGTAATCCTATCACTCTCCTTAGCCTCATCTGTCATCTCCTTATGTGGAAGTTTTGACACTTTATTGTGGATGAATAAAACATACTGAATCTGTCCATGCACATCACAATTGTCAAAGGCCCGACAGGCTACAGGTGGATACTGGAGTTGCATGGCCATACTATTCATTAGTTCATGTATATGTAATGGCACTTCAAGTTATGATGTCTGAATGTAGAAAAACAAGACGAAGACTTCACACATCATCACAACATTGTGAACGTCGTAAGATTCACACAGGTATTTCAATCTGCGTTATTTACCTCACCATAATCATTAATCAATGATATACATTGTTTGATAAGCGATACTTCTAGTTGATGGATGACAAAGTATAGGTAATTTATAGATAACAACTTCTTTATCTATCATGTTTACCTGAATGCGAGTTTTTGGAATTTGTATAAGGATCTATATCGAAATGTCACCTTTACCATGTTTACAGTAAATAAAGTAGTTGTTATCAATAAATTATCTATACTTTATGATATAAACATTATATGTTTGTGTACCATGCATATGGTACACAATTGTCAAGTTTTTCTGAGAAATATCTTAATCATGATGTTCATGTGCACGCCACTGCCTGTGAAACAGTCTCTGATAACACACATTGTGCTATTGTTCAGTAGCTGTTACTGAATATGAACATGGGCTGCGGTTAATGTCAAATATTAAAGCATGCTATTTCATCTGCGTTTTGAATATATTAACAGTCTACCTGTCTATGTATCTACATTATCAAGAACTGCATGTATGTGATGTGCAGAAATCAAATATCAGATCCTTTAGAAAAATAAAACATTCAAATTATTGTTGAATATATGATTATGTTTGCTGACTTCTAGTATTGCACACCAGCCATGTCTGACACATTCCACAACTGTTTCCACTTTGTAATGGTAATTTGAACACATAAATAAGTGATAAATGCTTCTTGGAATTGTTATGAATCGCTGCATGTACTAGTGCGGTGTATGTTCTTGTCTGCACAGTTATGTGTTTTCTTTGCAGGGCTGGAGTACAGTTTTTTAACAATCATGGATAAAATATTCATGCGCATAATGTGTGAAAGAATAACTTTAATACATTTTCCATAAGTAGATTGTTCATATTGGTATTAGATTACGTATTGATGATTGCGGTCAAGCTGACACACATGAATGGTTACCATCATGGCGTGTTCACCTTTAATCATTGACAAGCTGCAGTGGGGTCAAAGGGCACATCTGCGTGTAGACTGAATGAATAGTTTTACGGTAAAGTTCACTTTTATTTCCAACTGAATGTCTGAAAGACGTAATCAAAGAAGTAATCTCATCAACCGGGAAATTATTTATAATGTCGCTAAGCATGCGAAGATTCATGCAAAACATGTCAAAAGTGTAAATAATCTGTGTTTTGGTAAATTGGTAAGTTAGTAAGAGGTTTAGGCGAGATCTGTATCTTTTTTTGAGAGGCATTGAGAAGTTAGTGTACTAAGTATGGATGAGATATCACTTGCTTGATAACAGTGTTAGAACCACCGTAACGTCGTTCCTAATTGTACTTACGAAGTTGTTCAACTATATATCTTATCATTACTAAGATCTGTTTCATCTAACTTATGATATTTTTGCATGGGCGCAGTGGGGTAGCCTATTGGTTAATACGCATGCTTATCATGCTTAACACCTAGGTTATAATGGATAACCTGGACCTGGACACCTGGATATAATGGTGTCCTCTGTTGTGTCATAGTGTTAAGTACTGTGCAAAATCACCAACACACTTGCTCTGTGTTGCAGGCTTTGGGAGGAAGGACGTTGTAGAGCACCTACTGGACTGTGGTGCTAATGTTCATGCCAAGGACGATGGGGGACTCATCCCATTGCACAACGCCTGCTCTTTCGGCCATGCGGAAGTGGTGCAGCTGCTGCTGAGACAGGGGGCGGACCCCAACGCCCGAGACAACTGGAACTACACTCCACTCCATGAAGCGGCCATTAAGGGAAAGCTGGATGTCTGTATTGGTGAGACAGGATTGCTTTTTCTGTTGTGTGACGCTGACAAAACAGGAATATACATTTCGAAGTATTCTCTCACAGAATGGATTATGATTTCATGTGATCAGTGGTTATTTAAACTTTACTTTCCTTTTCGTGAAACTTTACTCTCTCTTTTTTCCACACATTTTGAAATAGGAAATAGTTTTATTTCATTCTAGGTATGGGGTGGTGGATTAGTTGTGGAGTAGACCATTTGTGGTGTTCTCCCGTTGCAATCACATTGGAATGGTGGCTAAATATTTCTACATCTCTTGCTAATTCTAAAATGTCTAATTGATCCTGGAAATTAATATTTGTGATTTGTGATTAACATGGATTAAGTGTTAGTTTGTTACCATGGTGACATGTTGATTTTTTTCTCCCAGTTCTACTACAGCATGGGGCTGACCCAAATATCAGAAACACTGATGGGAAAACAGCTCTCGACCTCTCTGACCCAACAGCAAAGGCCGTTCTTACAGGTATTTGTATAGTTGTATAGTTGTACATTTCTAACGAAACTAATCATCCAATCAGATTTTTTAAAGGAAATTATTACTTGATTTCATGTTTGGGTAAACATGGCAGAAATTATAATTTCCTGTTTTAAAATTTAATTATATTTAATTTATTTGTATGAATTTAAATAAGACATTATTCGTCCTGGTAACATATTATCCTGGTAAAAAGACCACAGCTGTAAATTTGCAGTACTGTGAAATCCTGTCAGTAGCACAATCGCGTGAATGAACAATTTGTAGGATTAACAAATACTTGGTGTAATGCTTGAAACTAATGTCATATTCTTTAGCATACATATACTACTCAAAAGATGTTAAGGAACACCCAGTTCTTTCAAATTGAAAAAGTTAATCTGTCATGCCATAACAGATTAACTATAGTAATATGAAAGAATCGGGTGTTCCTGAACTTCTTTTGAGTAGTATACAAAGATGTAATTCCTCAACTTTTGATAAGGATATGTTTATCTTTTCATGATACACAAAACTGATTGTCACAATTAACTACTGTATATATAAATAGAATGACATCTGATTATCCCTGTCAAAGGTTGAGTATAATACGTGAAGAGTCATGCCTAGAGTAACAAGGCTTCACTGCATCCAACATAGCGTGAGCAGTGAAGCACTAGGTGTTGATGGAAAGCCTTCAGCCAACCACTGATTATTGTCTATTTCTCCAGGGGAGTACAAGAAAGACGAGCTCCTGGAGGCAGCACGGAGCGGCAACGAGGAGAAGCTCATGTCACTACTAACCCCTCTCAATGTCAACTGTCACGCCAGTGATGGCAGGAAGGTAGGTCACTGGGGATACAATCAAAGTGGTTGTGTAGTTCAGGGAGTCTACAGTTTCACGTTAGTCAAATTAAAGTGAAACAGTCATTCCGCAAAGTGATCAGATACAGCTTTTATCACTGCAATCAACACTTAGGAACAAAATCAGTAAGAGATGTACCAGTATAGTAGAAAAGACTACACATGGAGTACAGGAAACTGCGGTTATAACATGTATAATAAACTCAAAGAGACTAATTTTAGTTCATTATAACAATAGTTCGTTATATGCATAAATATTATACAGCATATACACGCAAATGGTTGGGACCAAAAAGAAACAGATTAAGTAGGTCAGTTCGTTATAAGCGTGTTCTTTATTAACATAGTTTTCTGTAGATGTTTACTGAGAATATTTTGAGTGCAGCTCATTGTGACCGTTTTGTCCACAGTCCACACCACTCCATCTCGCAGCAGGCTACAACCGAACTAGGATCGTGCAGCTGCTTCTACAGCATGGAGCTGATGTCCACGCCAAAGACAAGGGGTAGGTTTCACAAATACAGTTTTGACATTCTCGGGTGGTGTTCATTCCCTTAGTTTACTTTGTAAACTTGGATGGTGAGATGGCCCATTCAGATGTCATCACCTTGCTTTGATTATGGTCGTGTGTACAGTGTGTGAGGCCCATTCTTGGTACCCCATTGTTGGAAGTTTGCTAAACGCCATCTTACACATTCTGAAGAAGTAGAAGCAACTGGTTCTTTGGCAATGTTTTTAATAACTTTGTGCATCTATTGTTTTGGGGGTTTTTTTTGGTGAAGACATGGTTCTAAGACATGTCTGGTGTCAAATGTTTCGTCTCTGAAAAACTACATGTTTTTATGTTTCTGTGCTATATGAGTTACTTGTAATTTGTTTATCACCCAAGTCTTATCTTCTATTAGATCTCTGCCCTGCTGAGAGTGATCAGACATGTAAGATCAGGACAATTATTTGTTGAGCGTTGAGTAACCTGATTGAATTCTGCATTTCAGTGGCCTTGTCCCCTTGCACAATGCCTGCTCCTATGGACATTTTGAGGTCACAGAGATGCTGTTGAAGGTCAGTGTGATTGCTATTGCTTGAGAGGATTCTGAATCCTCTATGCCCCCAGGGTTCGCACTTTGGTACACCTACACCAGCCCCTGGATCCATTCCCGCTGTTCTTGAGATCTTAAGTTACCTGCCCTTGATTGTCATTAACCAATTGATTTGTTATGCTACTAAGTCTAATGGACCAATCAGAAATCAAGTTACAAACCAGCCTCAGCATGACGGCCAGTCCCACTGAGTACGATATGGTATGCAAGAAATTCAACATTGGAAAACTGACTAACACGCAAAAGAAAGCCTTCAATGATCTTCTTGATGGAAAGAATGTCCTTGTGTCCACCTCCCCTACCCCTTTTGCTTATTCCTTATCTGGACATTTGATTGGTCGGTAAGATGTTAATAAAAATTAAGGGGAATAATTTGGGATCGAGAGAACCAGATCCTGTGGTTAGTGTAGGTTTACTGAAATGCGAGCCCTGGAGGTGGAGAGAATGAAAACACTGGTGCAAATATTGTATCCCATTGCTGCCTCAGGATGTGCTCATCTCGGGTTTGCATCTTGTCGTGTCAGCAGCACCGCTTGTATGTTTTGGTGACAGACGTGTATGACCTGCATTACCTTGTTCTCATAGCTGACACACTGTGAGGGGGCACGGGTGGCCCAGTTGTCTAAGGCACCGCAATTCGCTGTACAGAGTGTCCCTTGGGCACGCCAGAAACCTATGATTGTGGGTTTGAATCCCGGTTCACCCCAATTATGTTTCTAGGTTTGTCAGCACCATACCTGTGCTCGTGGGTTTCACCGCAGTAGTAAACGTCTGAGACCTGCATCACTTCGGGCTTTCCTCCCACATTAAGCTGACATGTCGTGATATAACTGGAATACTGTTAAAAGCGGCGTTAAACCAAACTCACTCACTGACACATTGTGATAGAACTGAAATACTGTTCAAATCAGTTTAAGACCTAACTGTCACCATCATGTCTTCAATAAAAGTGAGTTAATTCATTTTTCAATTGCATTGGCTTTGCCTTGATTTTGTTATAGGTGATCACTTTTGTTTTTACCTAATTGATTGAATACCTTGGTGATGATAACAAGGAAAAACGAATTGTTGCAAGAATCCTTGTAGTAGTCTAATCATTGAACTCCTATTGAAACAACTCAATGTGTGGTCGCAGGCTGGTGCCAGTGTTAATGCCATGGACCTGTGGCAGTTCACACCGCTTCACGAGGCAGCGTCAAAGTCCCGTGTAGAAGTGTGCTCGCTGCTCTTGTCTCACGGAGCAGATCCAACACTGGTCAACTGTCATTCCAAGAGTGCGTTGGATGTTGCTCCCACCAGGGAACTCCAGGAGAGGCTACAGTGTAAGTAATGAAAGAAAGAGTTCTGTTTAGATGACCATGGCCTTGTCAGTTGCCTGCCATTTTAGGTGTATTTGATCCAAAGCTAATGTTTAGTTTTGTCTCCATAAGCTGCCTATTTATTCCAAAGTTTTCCATTACTGTAAAATTTGACACGTTTTTGAACAATTGCATATGTCAGTTTGATACGAGTATGGTCGATGTTTGCTGTAACACACTGTAATGAATTATGAATTATGAATTATGAATTATAATGAATTATGACAGGGGTTATATGTTATTGGTTTGTGTTTTCAATGCCTTTCCCTGTTACAGTTGAATACAAGGGCCACTCATTACTGGAGGGGTCAAGACAATCGGATCTGGCCAGGGTGAAGAAATATTTGACAATGGATGTCGTCAACTTCAAGCATCCTTACACTGGGGATTCAGCTCTGGTAGGTAGTCTTGAGTTGTAGTAATAATATGATGAGTGCTGAGAGTTGGTTTCCTCCCTCACCTGTTGCAAGGTCAGTTGGCCCCACTTAAATAATTGAACAATTAGAGCATTATGATCAGTGTTAATTAATCCCCTAATGTGAGAGATATAGTCGTCGCATTGTCTGTCTGTTCATCCGTAATCATTTCGTTTCTGGGGTACAACTAAAATACCAACATAACTTGGCAGATACATCAAACAGATCCTGAAGTGGTGCCTTTTGCTATTTGGTGCCTTTTGCAGAGTTTTTGCATGTTTATTTTTCTTGATTTCCATGGAAACAATTTGGACTTTGTCTCAACAAGTTTGACTTTGACTCTGTTCTTAGTGGTGTTTGTCCAGACCATATCTCTAAAACTGGTAGGTATCCTTTCATGAAACTTTGCACACGCAAAGACCAGGTCAATGGTGCCTTTTGCTATTTAGGGATTTTTAGAATTTATATTTTTTTTCATTTCAAGGCAACAAGTTTGACTTTGACTCTGTTCATATTGGTGTCCGCTGGAATTCATGAAATGCTGCTGCTGACATTTATGTGGCTGTTAATGGTTGTGTGATTTGAGAATTCTCATGTTGTGTTTCAGCACTGTGCGGCGGCCTCACCCTTCCCGAAGAGGAAGCAGGTGGTGGAGCAGCTCATTAGGAAGGGAGCTAACCTCAACGATAAAAACAAAGAGTGAGTCTGGCCAATTATCTTGTGTTTGATTACAATTCCCAGAGACATTGAACGATGTAGGAAGAATCGTTTGCTCTTTGTCTTTTATCTTCTTCTAAATTATGATATTCCAAAAATTAAATATGATTTTGAACCCAATCTTTTGAAGCACATATTATTGCATGTAACTAGTTACATAAGAATCAATGCTTGTCGTAAGAGGCTACTACTGGGATCGGGTAGTCAGGCTCGCTGACTCTGTTGATGCATGTCATTGTATCTCAATGGCGTGGATGATGTCAATCACTGGATTGTCTGGTCGACACTCAATTATTAACACACAGCCCTCATATTGCTGTGTGTGGTGACAACAAACAAACATATGAATCATCCTTGTGACAGATAGGCCCATAACACTAATTATTGAAAGTTTCTATTTGAGGAGCAATTGTGTTCTATGTAGAACCTTAGCATCTTTCCTGTATAATACCCCATAACCTGCCTACAAGGGTCACCTAGGTAACGTACTGTTTCCTCCACAGCTACTTGACACCACTACATATTGCTGGAGATAAGGCCCACTATGATGTGATGGATGTCCTACTCAAGCATGGAGCCAAGGTAGGTCATTGCAGCATTAGGAGTTAGGAGAACATGATCAGATGTAGGGTAATGGGTCCTGCCATGTCGATGCTGCCATGCTGAAACCTGACTTATTCCTAGTTACTGTAAATCTCATGGCTGAAACATTACTAGAAGTCACTTTAGTCTGTGTCCTCAGCTCTAGGTATTGTTCTGGGCTCCAGTTGGATTCTGTTTTGTGTTTTGTAGGTAAATATGATGAAGAAACCTTTATTTTTGTCCCCCGCCGCGCGAAAGCGCGAAGCCGGGGATATAGTATTCACGACCGTCCGTACGTCCCACCTGTTTGTTACCGCGATATCTCAAGAACTAAACACTGGATTGTCTTCATATTTAGAACTATGGTGTATATACAAATTCCGCAGACACCAGTCGGTTTTGGTGACCTTGACCCCATTTTCAAGGTCACACCAGGCAAATCTGCTTTTGGAGTTGGAAAACGGTGTTGCCGCGATATCTCAAGAACTAATCTCTGGATTGTCTTCATATTTGGAACTATGGTGTATATACAGACAGCGCAGACACCAGTCGGTTTTGGTGACCTTGACCCCGTTTTCAAGGTCACAGCAGGCAAATCTGCTTTTGGAGTTAGAAAACGGTGTTGCAGCGATATCTCAAGAACTAAACACTGGATTGTCTTCATATTTGGAACTATGGTGAATATATAGACACCAGTCGGTTTTGGTGACCTTGACCCCATTTTCAAGGTCACAGCAGGCAAATCTGCTTTTGGAGTTGGAAAACGGTGTTGCAGCGATATCTCAAGAACTAAACACTGGATTGTTTTCATATTTGGAACTATGGTGTATATACAGACTCCGCAGACACCAGTCGGTTTTGGTGACCTTGACCCCATTTTCAAGGTCACAGCAGGCAAATCTGCTTTTGGAGTTAGAAAACGGTGTTGCCGCAATATCTCAAGAACTAATCGCTGTATTGTCTTCATATTTGGTACTATGGTGTATTTACAGGCGGGGGACATTTATTTATTTCCTGTTATTGGTACAATGTCTCAAGCACATTTCTGATGTCCTCCGCTGTGATATTGCTGGATTATTGCTCTTCAGGTGAGTTAGAGATATAGGTATATTTGGCTGTTTCAGGTGAATGCATTAGACGGCCATGGCCAGACAGCGCTGCACCGGGTGGGACAACAGGGTAACATGCAGGCGTGTAGACTGCTGATGTCATACGGCATCGACCCAAGTATAGTGTCCCTCCAGGGCTACACGGCCGCCCAGCTAGCCACAGAAAATATCCAGAGGCTACTGATAGGTAAGTGATATCCTACACCAGTCTGTGCCCATTGTTTTCTTTGCTGAACTTAGCTTTTGGTATCATTTAATAAGATTTTTGTGTTATTTTTTGTTACAGTGTGTTCTGAAATTAGCTGCGACAGTACATAGTGATATTACCTGTGACTGTACATGACGATAATACCTGTGACAGTACATATAGAAATTACCTGTGGCAGTACATAGTGATATTACCCGTAACTGTAGATGGCAATATTACATGTGACAGTACATAGCGATACTTCCTGTGAATATATAGCGATATTACCTGTGAAGTTATAGCGATATTACCTGTGACAGTACATAGCTATATTACCCGTGAATACATAGCGATATTACCTGGGACAGCATGTAAAGAAGTCACCTGTGACAGTAAATATTGAAAGTACCATGATTACATGTAGACGTTACACAAAAAGGTTTCTATGATTACCTGTGACATGGAGAATTCATCTATGGCCATGCTTGTGTTTACAGAGGACCCCCCAGTCGGAGGGACGGACATCGACTACCAGTTACTGGAGGCAGCAAAGGCAGGGGATATGGAGATGGTTAAGGTGGGCCAGTCACCATTTTGTATTTTTCCAATTCTTATGTCCAGATTTTTTGTGAACATGCCTGATTTGGAATCATTTTCACCTGTCAAGGTTTGCACAGGCTTGAAAGAGCCTTGAAATTTAAGGTAATGAAAAGCCTTGATTTTTAGTGTTAACCTTGAAAAGCCTTGAATTTTTACAAAATTATGTATACAGGTAAACTATGTTTATAACAAACACCCTTATAATGAACTGACAGATATAACAAACTTATTTTATAGTGCTGACCATTTGTTCAAACTAGCCAAATTAACAGTTGTGTAACCAAATAAACAGTAAAAGTACAATCAACCTGGGAAAGGGCCTCCCTACATAAATGTATTCCTTGATGTGTAAAGTATTGGAGTACAGTATTTGACTACCATTGGAATATTTTTGGATTTTTGGGGGGGGTTTCAAAATGGCAATAAAAAGGAAATGTGTGTTGAACATTATGATGATGGGGGCAGTGCCTAAGAACCAAGCCTATTATTATTTTTTAACCTAATGCTGCAACATGTCAGTGTATCTGCAGCCAATGTGTTTAAGGGTGGACTGGTCTCCATACATGCCTATTCATTAGTGTGAAATAAATAAATAATTACGGTTACTAGTGGTAAGGTTGAAACCATACACCAAAGTTTCCCTGCAATATGTATCACCACACTTACGTATCAAGATGCTCCGAGGTAAAATTATATCATTTGATAACAAAGAACAAAAGCTGATATTTTTTTCCCCCTTTCAGATGTCGAATGCTCTAGTAATTGAAACCCTATAGATTAGACTGAATAAGGGATTCATATCTTGAGCTAGGAAGTCGATCAAAGAATATGAACCTTCTGATGTGCAAATAATCAAAACATTTTGTGAATTGATACATATTAATAATAAATGATGGGTATTATATGATTGAGTTAGATATCCCACCATCATGAAATCGGTTCAACTTAAACTGGTTCTATTAATATGTGGACTATTCTTGAGGAGTTAGCAGCTGTCATTAATGAACACCAAGAGGAATACCAGGATGACATAATGATGGGGGCGGTATGATAGCTTAGTGGTGTTAACTTGTCATGTGAAAGATCCAGATTTAATTCTGCACATGGGTCAGTGGTGTAGAAGATTTTTGGTTTCCCAAAGGCTACCATCATGATTCTTGAATATTGCTAAGACCAGGCTAAAACGAAACATAAAGATTACAGGCATTTTTGATCGCTTCATCAGCTTTGCATTTTCTTCTAGAAGCTTGTGGCCACGAACCCTCATGCCGTTAACTGTCGAGATGTTGACGGGCGCCACTCGACGCCGCTGCACTTCGCTGCAGGCTACAACCGTGTCAGCGTCGTGGAGTACCTGCTGCAGCAAGGAGCTGATGTACACGCCAAGGACAAGGGAGGACTTGTGCCTCTACACAATGCATGCTCCTATGGCCACTTTGAAGTCACAGAGTTACTCATAAAGGTCTGTTGAAATGTTCCATAGCATGTGATATTATAGGGGTGGCACGGCCGACCCAGGTGTCAGTTGTCATCCATAGGATACGGCAAATGCCAATGACTGCCGACTCGAGTCACAGTTTCACCCTAATTATTTATATTTCTAGGTTTTACAGCACCATACTCATGCTTTGTGGGTTTCAATAAAGTGGTTAAGACCTGCATCACTTCAGGCTTAACTCCCACATCAAGCTGACTGATATCGTCATATAGGTGCGGTCGGGTAGCCTAGTGGTTAAAGCGTTGCTTGTCACGCTGAAGACCCAGGTTCGATTCCCGACGTGGGTACAATGTGTGCAGCCCATTTCTGGTGTCCCCCACCCTGATATTGCTGGAATATTGCTAAAAGCGGCGTAAAACCATACTCATTCACTCATTTCGTCATATACCTGAAATACTGTTCAAAGCGACCCAATTTTACCCAATTTTCACTCACTCACATAACCAATGAGCCTTGTTATATAAAAAGGGACTTCTGGGATATGCCTAATGGTACTCCTCATCGTCAATAAGACAAGATTTATGGAAGAACCCCCCACTTATCTCAAACTGAAAAAGTAATTCACAGTAGTCCCAAGGGCAAGGCAACATGGCCTTCCTGAGAGAACACTGACAATGATTTTGAAAGAAAAACGAATTCACATCAGTAATATGTTTGAGACATGCAATATTCCAGATCATGTATAACCTTTCAATGTTTGAATTTTATTTCTTACTGATAATGATTGTTTTTGTAGATAGTATCTTACAGTATAGTATAGCTCATAAGAACCAAAAGTTTGGGCTAAGAAAAAGTTTATTTGTATGTAAGGCCACCAGCTCAATGGGCTCAAATATAGGTAGGCAAAAAAGGTCTCAAGGAAAGAGAAATCTTCTGTTATTGATATTCTTAGAAATAATAGTAATGCCAGATTTATTTCTAGTCAGACCTGTAATGTTTGTTTTTTTCTAAAATCTGTCAATCAATAATCACTTGACATGTAGCTTCATGTGTGTTCTTCCCCTTGCAGCATGGAGCGTGTGTAAATGTTGCAGACCTGTGGAAGTTTACGCCATTACATGAAGCTGCTTCTAAAGGCAAATTTGAAATCTGCAAGTTGCTTTTGAAGGTACGAAATGTTTGGCTTTGACTGAGGCTTTGACCTGCTCTCTTCAAGTTATCTTGTTTATGAATGATGGGTTGTTGCCACAACTCTTGCCCCATGTTGTTATGGCTAAAACTGCCTGAATTATCATAGGTTCATTGCACGTTTCGTTTTTGTTTCCATTTTCAATATTTTTTGTGCATTGTGATTACCGTATTCGATGTAATAAGCGCCCAGGGCGCTCTCAAAATTAGAAATAGGGGCTCTTATTAGAATGGTATTTTGGTGGGGAAAAAACAGAGTTGAAAGATAAATTTCATGGTTTATGCTGACAGCCTGAAATGTTTATATACGACAGATATATTTTTCCAGAATTTATTGCCCATAATTAAGGGTGCATATAACACACGAGTGCGTATTATACACGAATAAATAAGTCTTGTGTACATTGATCAATCGGAAGGGGTGCTAATTGGGATTGTTCACAAGCCAATATATTAATAAATATCGCCGTGGGCGCTTATTAGAGCGGGGCGCTTATTACGTCGAATACGGTAAGTATTATAAATTTTATATTTTTTTGAAAATGGAAATAAAAACAAAACATGCAGACTTTATGATGATGTGGGTGGTGCCTGAGAACCAAGACTGTTATTTTTTTAGCCTATTATGGTTATGAAATTTAAGGAGCACACAAATGAAATCCTTGTCATAGTTTTTCAAAGAGTAAGTTTCTGCATCAGCATTACATCAAGGTTTAAAAATGAATTGCTAACAATACTACTCAAAATTAGTTTAAACACCCTTTCTTTCATATGACTATAGTTATGGCATGAGAGATTACCTGTAGTCTGAAAGAAATGGATGTTTTTCTTTTGAGTAGTATATATTTTACTTGGGATGTTTTGATGCCAACTCTGGGCAACACTAATGTAGGCCAGGGTACACCTACTAGTTCAAGGAGAATGGGTTTACAGTTAGTTCTTATTATTCAGCATGGGGCTGACCCAAACAAGAAGAATCGAGACGGACATACTCCGCTGGACCTTGTGAAGGAAGGTGACCAGGATGTGGCAGATCTTCTCCGAGGTAAACACTGGTCACGTGTTGTTTGTTGGTTGATTAAAACTGCGGGGGGCACAGGTGGCCCAGTCGTCTAAGGTGCTGTGCAGAGTTGCGTCTCTTGGCACGCCAGAAACCTATGATTGTAGGTTCGAATCCCGGTTCGCCACAATTATGTTTCTAGGTTTGTCAGCACCATACCTGTGCTCTTGGGTTTCACCAAAGTGGTAAACGTCTGAGACCTGCATCACTTCGGGCTTTCCTCCTACATTAAGCTGACATGCCGTGATATAACTGGAATGTTAAAAGCGGCGTTAAACCCAACTCACTCACTCACTCATTGATTAAGGCAGCACTCAGCAATATTAAGACAGTTTTATCACGACAGTTCATAAATAATCAAGTTATTGACATCATCAGCATCAATCTATGCATTTGGGATATTGACATGCATCAGCCAAATCAGCAAGCCTGACCCCCCAATCCCGCTAGTTGTCTCTTACCAGTTCTAAACCGTATCTTCAGTAGTTTGTCATAGCGTGACTCCTCTGTATGTAATGCCATTTGGAGTTTTCCTCACAATAAGTCTTATAGTACTGTCTTACTTTCATACTGAGTGGTTTGGTATTCATTTCAACCAAAACCGAGCAGCAGTGAACTAACTTATGAAATGCAACAGATACCAGAATGAAAAAAAACCCATTAGATACCTTGTAGTGAAACAATACTGCAGTCGTGATATAGCATGAATTCTATGAACGTTGTCGAGAGAAAGGCCATGTGCAGCATGCAGGCAACTGAAGTCATGACATGCAAGATGGAACACCCTTTCATCACCCGATGGCTCAGAGGCGTACAAATCATGATATGTGAGGTTACTATGTGATAACAAGATACCTACAATACCATAGACAAAAGATGATGTGAGAACACAATGTGTTACTTTGTTCAGGTGATGCTGCATTGCTGGAAGCTGCTAAGAAAGGGAACCTTGCCAGAGTACAGAAACTTGCATCCCAGGAAAACATCAACTGTCGGGACACACAGGGCAGAAATTCTACACCCCTACATCTCGCAGGTATGATTACTCATCGACTTTGTTGTATTGCTAACATGAGTAGGGCTTAACTTTTGTGATTTAATCATCAATTCTTATTTCTGACGAATAGGGATCTTGCCAACACTATAATCTGTTCACACTACAAACCTGCCAACACTACAATCAGACAACGCTACAATCTACATTACAATGTGCCAACACTACAAACTGATAACACAACATCCTGCCAACACTACAAACTGCTAACCCTACAACCTGCCAACACTACAAACTGATAACACAACATCCTGCCAACACTACAAACTGCTAACCCTACAACCTGCCAACACTACAAACTGATAACACAACATCCTGCCAACACTGCAATCTGCTAACCCTACAACCAGCCAACACTACAATCCACACTACAATGTGCCAACACTACAAACAACAGCTAACCTCACAACCAGCAAACACTACAACCTGCACTACAAAGTGCCAACACTACAACCTGCTAACCCTACAACCAGCCAACACTACAACCAGCCAACACTACAACCTGCCAACACTACAATCGGCTAACACTACAACCTGCCAACACTACAACCTGCCAACACTACAATCGGCTAACACTACAACCTGCAAACACTACAATCGGCTAACACTACAACCTGCCAACACTACAACCTGCCAACACTACAACCTGCTAACCCTACAACCTGCCAACACTACAACCTGCCAACACTACAATCGGCTAACACTACAACCTGCAAACACTACAATCGGCTAACACTACAACCTGCAAACACTACAATCGGCTAACACTACAACCTGCCAACACAACAACCTGCCAACACTACAACCTGCCAACACTACAGCCTGCCAACACTACAACCTGCCAACACTACAACCTGCTAACACTACAATCTTTTCCAGCTGGTTACAACAATGTGGAAGTAGCAGAGTTCCTACTGGAGAATGGAGCTGACGTGAACGCCCAGGACAAAGGTGGACTCATACCCCTCCACAATGCCTCTTCTTATGGGGTAAGTTGTCAACTCTTGTTTTCATAAGGCTTCCCAAGAAGAAAATTTAGTCATGGTTCTGAGCATTGAAAGTTTTTATCTCTGCCTTGGCATTTTAAGACTCCCCAATATGAAAATTTTAATACCCTTGAAGAGTATTGTTCTGATCTGAAGGAAACACTCATAATCATCTGTTTTCAATTTTAGACTATCATGTTTCATTTTTGTTATGGTTGTATTTGTGGTAAACAAAACCAAACAAAGGGAGCCGAGAATGAAAATCCACTCCTCCATTGACCAGGGTAATAACATGGAGTGAAATTTGCTGCATTTTAATGGCAACTGTTAAAAATTTTCCTTACCTTTAAGATATTCATTACTCACCTTCCCAGCCCCACACAACTTATGTGTGAACATCCCATTAGATATTCTATCCAAGCCTTTAACTGGTTTTCTTTTACTCTGTTTCATCTATGATGGATGTGCTGTTATTTATGAACCACATGAGCTGTTATTTGTTAACTGAAACTCAAATAATTTAAACTGGTTTATTGGATGGAAAACTTGCAGACCTGTATCTCCAGCTCCCCTGTGCATGGTGTATTAATGTTGACCTGTTTGTCTTTGTTTCAGCATGTAGAAATAGCTGCTCTACTAATCAAATTCAACACCTGTGTTAATGCTCAAGACAGATGGGGTTTTACACCTCTCCACGAAGCAGCTCAGAAAGGAAGGACACAGCTCTGTTCCCTTCTGGTAGGTTTCGTTTGTCTCTCTGCATACAGTCTTATTGTCAGATAAAAATTATATTCCCCATGTTGGTAACATGAAACAAAATGTTTTCCCATAGACTTCCATGGGGACGTTATATTCTGTTTAAGATAACTTGGCATTCAACAGCCATTAGATGTACTTGTATGCACAGCCTGACCTTACTGCTGCAATAATAACACAAATTTGAGCTAGCTTAGCCTTTTCCTAGTATAGGGAGGTACACATACCAACCCCAATTCCACATCAAATGTCCCCTGCTTTATTTTAAAATACAAAAAATCTTGCAGCTGCCAGATTTATAAAAGCGGCTGGCTGAACAACTGATTCTGATTTGGTGTAGGAGAGAACCTGTACCCTTGGTGCGTGGTGGAAAATGGACCAAGGGGAGATAATTTCTATTGTTAGATTTACAGTTACTTCCCCTTCCTTATTGCTTGTCCACAGGTTGAAGTGTGTGAATAATGTTGTTTTATAATGTTTTGTGATGCAGTTGACACTATTGCTATGGTTATTTAGGTGTTATGTACTTAGTATTATCTGTATGTGCATTAATTTAATACATGTTGGAATAAGTAGTTCTAATTTTTATGGAATATGACTTATGGTCTTGACAAGTTAACCTGTCACATTCCAGCTTGCCCATGGAGCGGATCCCACTATGAAGAACCAGGAGGGCCAGTCACCTCTGGATCTTGCAACGGTAAGCTGACTAAAAAACAACCCTAAAAAGGAAGCATGTTCTGAAGATGATGTGGATCGTTGCTGAAAATATCAGCCACTTGATTGTCTGGTTCAGACATGAATATTTTCACGCTACCGTCATATAGCTGGTATATTGCTGAGTGTGGCGTTAAACAACAAACAAACAAGCAATGCAAACAAATCTCAATCTTGACTTTTGTTGATTTCAAATAAGTAAAGGAAATTCAAATATTTTTGTTCCAGGCGGATGATGTGCGAGCACTCCTCCAGGATGCCATGCCACCAGTGCAGATGCCCCCCAGTGTCCCCAAGGCGCAGGCCGGGGGAGGCAGCGGCAGTGGCGGCAACCTCACCAGTAGCAGTTCTTCATCTAGCAAGTAAGTGTCTTGATGTGTTCTACACCATGTAATGGTCCAGCACGTAAGTGTCGTGATAATAATCCCGGGTCCAGGTAGCCTAGTGGATAAAACATTCGCTCATCGTGTCATGTTCGACTCTTGACATGGGTACAATGTGTGAAGCCCATTTCCCGCCGTGATATTGCTGGAATATAACTAAAAGCGATGTGAAACCACACTCACTCACTCGCCCGCACGTAAGCCAGGCCAATCCCGCCAGCCCCCGCCCCCGCCCCCGCCCCCACCCCTGCCCCTGCCCTCGCCCTCGCCCTCGCCCTCGCCAAACTGAACAAGAGCGTTTCTCTAAACTCTACAAGAGAGATCTACTAAACTGTATAAGGGATTAGACCCGTGAAGATACGGGGTAGAATAGGTCTTCAGCAACCCATGCTTGCTGTAAAAGGTGACTATGCTTGTTGTAAGATGTGACTTATGGGATCGGGTGGTCAGGCTAACTGACAAGGTTGATGCATGTCATTGTGTCCCAATTGCGGGGAACGATGCTCATGGTGTCAATCACTGGATTGTCTGGTCCAGATTCAATTGTTTACAGTCTGAAGTCATATAGCTGGAATAATGCTGAGTGCGGCGTTAAACAACAAACAAACAAACAAACAAAGTATAAGGGATTAACATAGTCATTACAGAAAACCAGTTCATGTTACTGATGGTTTAATTTTAGTTTCAGCTCTTTCAATATTTCGATGCCAAACGTTTACTCCTTGTTGATATCTTTTCATAATAATTGATGTTCTTTACATCAACTAATCAACAACTGTTCATGTTCACCACCAAAGCGAGTCTAAAAGGACTGTTGTCTTTCTTTCAGCAGTCTTCTCAACAGCAGCTCGGATGGGTTTGTTGGTGCCGTGGGAGGGAGTCCGCAGGTCGGTGATGGATGTAACATGGAGAGGTCTATCGGAGAAGGCGAGAGAAGCATTGAAGCTGTTAGTGTCATGGCATTCCTTGGATCAATCGGGCTTGAGCAGCTCAGAGATATTTTTGAAAAGGAACAAATTACAATGGACATTTTGGTTGAAATGGGACACGAAGAGTTGAAAGACATTGGCATTAATGCTTATGGTCACAGGCACAAAATACTTAAAGGCGTGGAGAAGCTCATCTCTACAAAAGGTATGTACTAGTGCACCGAGTATTGTGTTATGCGGTGAGGCTTGTACAGTTCAACATAGACAAGGGAGCAAGACACTGCAGACCAAGAAACAATTGATGAATTGAGAAAAATGGAATAAAAATTCAGAATCCCCACTGGTAATTTTGTGCCCCAATTTTTTGTGGAACTCACTACATGGATATAGTTGATAAAGACGTGTCTTGATGTGGTCAGTGATTGACCACATTCACTATAAGGTGTAGATGTGACAGTTATATCCCACCATGGTATACAGCATGGTTCTGTTCTGCAGGATGTATACAAGGTGTATATTAGGAGGGGTAGAGAGTTATATCCCACCATGGTATACAGCATGGTTCTGTTCTACAGGATGTATACAAGGTGTATATTAGGAGGGATAGAGAGTTATATCCCACCATGGTATACAGCATGGTTCTGTTCTACAGGATGTATACAAGGTGTATATTAGGAAGGGTAGAGAGTTATATCCCACCATGGTATACAGCATGGTTCTGTTCTACAGGATGTATACAAGGTGTATATTAGGAGGGGTAGAGAGTTATATCCCACCATGGTATACAGCATGGTTCTGTTCTCCAGGATGTATACAAGGTGTATATTAGGAAGGGTAGAGAGTTATATCCCACCATGGTATACAGTATGGTTGTGTTGTTCTGCAGTTCTGCAGGATGTATACAAGGTGTATATTAGGAGGGGTAGAGAGTTATATCCCACCATGGTATACAGCATGGTTCTGTTGTTCTACAGGATGTATACAAGGTGTATATTAGGAGGGGTAGAGAGTTATATCCCATCATGGTATACAGCATGGTTCTGTTCTACAGGATGTATACAAGGTGTATATTAGGAGGGGTAGAGAGTTATATCCCACCATGGTATACAGCATGGTTCTGTTCTACAAGGTGTATATTAGGAGGGGTAGAGAGTTATATCCCACCATGGTATACAGCATGGTTCTGTTCTACAGGATGTATACAAGGTGTATATTAGGAAGGGTAGAGAGTTATATCCCACCATGGTATACAGCATGGTTCTGTTCTACAAGGTGTATATTAGGAGGGGTAGAGAGTTATATCCCACCATGGTATACAGCATGGTTCTGTTCTACAGGATGTATACAAGGTGTATATTAGGAAGGGTAGAGAGTTATATCCCACCATGGTATACAGTATGGTTCTGTTGTTCTGCAGTTCTGCAGGATGTATACAAGGTGTATATTAGGAGGGGTAGAGAGTTATATCCCACCATGGTATACAGCATGGTTCTGTTGTTCTACAGGATGTATACACTGTGTGTATTAGGAGGGGTAGAGAGTTATATCCCACCATGGTATACAGCATGGTTCTGTTGTTCTGCAGGATGTATACAAGGTGTATATTAGGAGGGGTAGAGAGTTATATCCCACCATGGTATACAGTATGGTTCTGTTGTTCTGCAGTTCTACAGGATGTATACAAGGTGTATATTAGGAGGGATAGAGAGTTATATCCCACCATGGTATACAGAATGGTTGTGTTGTTCTGCAGGATGTATACAAGGTGTATATTAGGAGGGGTAGAGAGTTATATCCCACCATGGTATACAGCATGGTTCTGTTCTACAGGATGTATACAAGGTGTATATTAGGAAGGGTAGAGAGTTATATCCCACCATGGTATACAGTATGGTTCTGTTGTTCTGCAGTTCTGCAGGATGTATACAAGGTGTATATTAGGAGGGGTAGAGAGTTATATCCCACCATGGTATACAGCATGGTTCTGTTGTTCTACAGGATGTATACAAGGTGTATATTAGGAGGGGTAGAGAGTTATATCCCACCATGGTATACAGAATGGTTGTGTTGTTCTGCAGGATGTATACAAGGTGTATATTAGGAGGGGTAGAGAGTTACATCCCATCATGGTATACAGCATGGTTCTGTTGTTCTCCAGGATGTATACAAGGTGTATATTAGGAGGGGTAGAGAGTTATATCCCACCATGGTATACAGAATGGTTGTGTTGTTCTGCAGGATGTATACAAGGTGTATATTAGGAGGGGTAGAGAGTTATATCCCACCATGGTATACAGCATGGTTCTGTTCTACAAGGTGTATATTAGGAGGGGTAGAGAGTTATATCCCACCATGGTATACAGCATGGTTCTGTTCTACAGGATGTATACAAGGTGTATATTAGGAGGGGTAGAGAGTTATATCCCACCATGGTTAACAGCATGGTTGTGTTCTACAGGATGTATACAAGGTGTATATTAGGAGGGATAGAGAGTTATATCCCACCATGGTTAACAGCATGGTTGTGTTCTACAGGATGTATACAAGGTGTATATTAGGAGGGGTAGAGAGTTATATCCCACCATGGTTAACAGCATGGTTGTGTTCTACAGGATGTATACAAGGTGTATATTAGGAGGGGTAGAGAGTTATATCCCACCATTGTATACAGCATGGTTGTGTTGTTCTACAGGATGTATACACTGTGTGTATTAGGAGGGGTAGAGAGTTATATCCCACCATGGTATACAGCATGGTTCTGTTGTTCTACAGGATGTATACAAGGTGTATATTAGGAGGGGTAGAGAGTTATATCCCACCATGGTTAACAGCATGGTTGTGTTCTACAGGATGTATACAAGGTGTATATTAGGAGGGGTAGAGAGTTATATCCCACCATTGTATACAGCATGGTTGTGTTGTTCTACAGGATGTATACACTGTGTGTATTAGGAGGGGTAGAGAGTTATATCCCACCATGGTATACAGCATGGTTCTGTTGTTCTACAGGATGTATACAAGGTGTATATTAGGAGGGGTAGAGAGTTATATCCCACCATGGTATACAGCATGATTGTGTTGTTCTGCAGGATGTATACAAGGTGTATATTAGGAGGGGTAGAGAGTTTTTCCCACCATGGTATACAGCATGGTTCTGTTGTTCTGCAGGTGCGGCTGTTGTTTCGGGTGTGTCCAGCTCTGGGACGGTCCTCATTGACCTTACACCTGATGACCCAGAGTACATCTCTGTGGAGGAACAGGTAAGTTCACTTTAATAGATACATCACTTGCTGGCTAGTTTTGGATGCTGACCCGTGAAGATACGGGGTCTTCAGCAACCCATGCTTGCAGTAAAAGATGACTATGCTTGTTGTAAGAGTTGACTAACGGGTTCAGGTGGTCAGGCTTGCTGACTTGGTTGATGCATGTCATTGTATCCTAATAGCGTAGATCAATGTTCATGATGTCAATCACTGGTAGTCTCGTATGGGATTTTAACTCGTGGCATTGGTAGGCTGTTCTTGTCTTCTGTATTGTGAGGTATTTGTTACCATGGCCCTCAATACTGACCTGAATTATGGAAGTTACAAATGTTTATGTACTGAGAATAGACTGTTGTAGCCAATGTATACTACTCAAAACAAGTTAAAGATCACCCATAATATTTGAATGCTGTGTGTTGTAATACCCACCAGCCGTGACAAATTAACTATAGTTATGTAAAGATATCAGGTGTTCTGTAACTTCTTTTGAGTAGTATATATAAAATGTATATAAAACTCCCAGAGGAGTGAGTCGCAGTCCTATAACATTTGTTGACATTAAGTTGATTAACTACGACTTGTGGTAGTTGGCACATCAATTGCTGATTTTGTCTTGTTTAAACATGTCGTGTTACTTATCCCTGTCAACTTTCTTGTCAGATGCAGAGCACTATTCGAGACCATAAGGACAGCGTTGGAGGCATCTTTAATAAATATAATATTCTGAAGGTAATTTTATCACATTATTAAATAATAGACTTGTACCTCCTGACAGATGGTCTTAGGACTGTTAATTTGTAAGTTAAGTTCATCCTGGCAACCAAAACTATTAACCAACATGTGCCACCACTGTTTATTGGGATCCTTTGTACACACATGCTTTCTGGGGGAAGCATACCTAATACTGTCATGCAAGACTTTGTGGGGTATATGGGAATCAAACATATCAGCTTTTGCCTACCACAAACATGTTTATTAACTTCTTTGTGTAGTAGAAGTTCACTTTAAAGACCTGATCGAATCATCTTCTGACTATATCAGTCCAGTTTCCACCCTTGCCGATTTAGGCTGGAATTCTGGAGTTACATTCTGGCTGTACTGACAAGTCTTTGCATAGTCCAATAAAAATCGTGTAACAACTGGTTTGTACACAACATTGATTTCAATATGCTGATTTTGGTCGACTTCAGGATTTGCAAAGCGTGTGTACAGCCAACTTGGCATTGAGATATTTTCCAAATCTGTTTATGGTTTTAATAAAGGTGCTCATGTGATTTGGTGCACTTCGCAGGTTTTTTTAATTTTTGATGAGATCGTCTTGACTGGGCACTGCCATTTTGTTTGAAGCAAATACAAATGATATGAGAGATGGAATCTGATTGGTCTATAGGAGTGACATTGTAGGGACATACCTCGTAATCACCAATGCTGGCCCTAAAATCAAGCCTGGCAATCCCAGCCCAGTTCAGCAAGGATGGAAACTGGACTTTAACACCCTTGTCTCAGGAAGATGGGATGGAATATGTAGGCCTGAGAAAAACAACTGGATTTAGATTAACATTTGTTTTACATCATTGGACCTTTGTAGATAACTATAAAGTGTTTATTGGATGGATTTTGATATTCTTTTAATCAGAATTAATGAAATTTGCTTGACTTCCTAGATCCAAAAAGTTCGGAACAAGCGACTGTGGGAGAGGTACTGTCATCGTCGCAAGGAGGTCGGGGAAGAGAACCACGGACACCCCAATGAGAGGCTGCTGTTTCATGGCTCACCTTTCACAAACTCCATTGTGCACAAGGGTTTCGATGAACGACATGCTTACATCGGGGGCATGTTTGGTGCTGGTAAGTTCATGTCATTGGAATGGAAGTTTCTTTTATTTATGGATTTCTATGGATAATTTCTTCAGGTGCCTTTGAGACCGCCTCCGTGGTCTAGTGGTAGAGAGTCTGCCGGGAGAGTGGAAGGTCCGGGGTTCGATCCCCGGCTGTGTCATACCAAAAGATGTTAAAAGATGGTACTTGTTGTTACCCTGTCTGGCGCTCGGCATTAAGGGGCTAAAACAAGGACTGGTCGGCTCGTAGTCAGTATACTGTGTCTGAGTGGGGTATCCATGTTAAACTGCGGTGTGGTATTTCAGTGAGCTAGCACTATAAATCGGCATCAGTCCGGACTAGTACAAGCAGCCACACACACATACACACACGTGCATGCACGTCGCTATATAAGTGCAATTATCTTGGACGCCACTTTAAACCCAATTTCATCTCACTTCAGGTGCCTATGAAGTATGTTTGGTTATCTGATGTCATTGGAACAGAAGTTCATTTATTTAGTTTTAGATTTGTATGTGCATTTGAATGGATTCCGCTGCAGTATTGGTTCCCATAATCCCTTGCTTGTTTTGAATGGTTGTAAGAGCAGCCTCCTGGGGGATTCTGGGTTAGAATGGGCAATAAATGGGTTTCGTGTCTGCAACCTCAAACTCATTTATCTTAGGACTAGTCCAGAGGACCAGTGGAAGCCTAATTACATTGGCCCTCACAGTTTGTAGCTAGTCCCACTGGAACAAGACAAATGTTTACAATGTTCTGTCAGTTCTGTCAGTTCTTTTCAGTACCGATTTGTAACGAATTTGAAGCATTGAGAACTAGTTCACAGTTATGGCCCTCAAATGGTACTAGTCAGTGAGAATCTTGTCCTCAGCACAATTTAGTAGTCTCGGGCTAGCAGACTAGCGTGAATTTACAAGGCTGTGTCTGATGCTTCAATATTCCACACATTAATTGACCTTAGCATAAAAATATGATTCTATGACAATTTCATTTAGATAACATTGTTACAAAACAAATTTTAGTGGATATTTATGTGAAGTGACAGAATGATTTGAATATGTGAAAAGCCGAAAGCAAGTTACAGGGTTGTATTTTGACTGTTTGTATGTTTCAGGGATATATTTTGCTGAAAATTCCTCCAAGAGCAACCAGTATGTGTATGGTATCGGTGGCGGCACTGGGTGCCCTGTACATAAAGATAGATCCTGTTATATATGTAATAGGTAAGTAATGCGTCCACAGATAGTCCATGTTCCACTATTGTCAGCACCATACTTGTACTCGTGAGTTTCACCAAAGAGGTAAACGTCTGAGACCTGCACCACTTCAGGCTTTCCTCCCACATCAAGCAGACTCCGTGATATAACTGGAATAATGTTCAAAGTGGCATTAAATCCAACTCACTCACTCACTGTATCTGTCAACTGCATAGTTTCCATGTTCCTTTAGTTTTGTTTGTTATCCCCCGCCGCGCGAAAGCGCGAAGCGGGGGATATAGTATTCACGACCGTCCGTACGTCCCACCTGTTTGTTGCCGCGATATCTCAAGAACTAAACACTGGATTGTCTTCATATTTGGAACTATGGTGTATATACAGACTCTGCAGACACCAGTCGGTTTTGATGACCTTGACCCCATTTTCAAGGTCACAGCAGGCATATCTGCTTTTGGAGTTGGAAAACGGTGTTGCCGCGATATCTCAAGAACTAAACACTGGATTGTCTTCATATTTGGAACTAGGGTGTATATACAGACTCCGCAGACACCAGTCGGTTTTGGTGACCTTGATCCCATTTTCAAGGTCACAGCAGACAAATCTGCTTTAAGAGTTGGAAAACGGTGTTGCCGCGATATCTCAAGAACTAAACACTGGATTGTCTTCATATTTGGAACTAGGGTGTATATACAGACTCCGCAGACACCAGTCGGTTTTGGTGACCTTGACCCCATTGTCAAGGTCACAGCAGGCAAATCTGCTTTTGGAGTTAGAAAACGGTGTTGCCGCGATATCTCAAGAACTAATCGCTGGATTGTCTTCATATTTGGAACTATAGTGTATATACAGACACCGCATACACCTGTCAGATTTGGTGACCTTGACCCCATTTTCAAGGTCACAGCAGGCAAATCTGTTTTGGGAGTTGGAAAACGGTGTTGCCACAATATCTCAAGAACTAATCGCTGGATTGTCTTCATATTTGGTAGTATGGTGTACAGGCAGGGGATATTTCGTCACTCTGTGACAAATACTTGTTTGTTGTTTAACGCCGCACTCAGCAATTTTCCAACTATATTACGGCGGTCTGTAAATAATCGAGTCTGGACCAGACAATCCAGTGATTGACATGAGCATCGATCCTCGCAATTGGGATTGCATTCGTCCCTCTTACGACAAGCATAGTCGCCTTTTACATTTCTTATGTGATGACAAAGGTGAATATAAACAACAAAATCAATCAGCATGTGATAATTACCACATGATTAACAATTGACATAGGATTGGATGGTAGCACTGTGTGATTGTGCTGATTTCAATTCATTGTACCTTGTTGACATTAAGTGTTGCTCATGCTATCCACCACTGGTTTGCTGGGCCTAGAACTGATCAGTTACAGGCTGCTGTAATATTGCTGGCTGCAGTGTAAATAGTAATTTTCTGTTTATCACTTTTCTGAAAAAATGCGACACATTCATTATTTTCATGTGGACCCATGAAGATCCGGGGTAGTATAGGTCTTCAGCAACCCATGCTTGCCGTAAAAGGCAACTAGGCTTGTCGTAGAAGACGACTAATGGGATCGGGTGGTCAGGCTTGCTGACTTGGTTGAAGCATCCCAAATACGTGGATCGATGCTCATGATGTCAATCACTGAATTGTCTGGTCCAGGCTCGATTATTTACAGCTGGAATATTGCTGAGTGTGGCATAAAACAACAAACCAACCCGACCAACATTATTTTCGTGCAACATTTGAAGTATGTATTGGCATTCACAGTCTGTCCTGCACCCTGTGAATGTTATCCATAGTTCATGTGGCAGTGGTATTTGACAGTACAGTGAGTTATTTATATTTCCGTGTTATAATAATATTCCACTCCGTTTTTGATGGGGTTATTTTTATCTTTCCATTGATACACAAAACTGTGTATATTTAAGGGGAATGGCATAGCTGGTTATCCCTATCAAGTGTTGAGTACTATATTACTAAGTCAATACACAAACTTATTTCCACCATGGGAAGTGTTTGACAGTACTCGGTGCTTGTCTTTTAAGACACCTTGTGAAGATGGGATGATCAAGCTTGTGACTTAACTGATGTATTTGATAATGAATCGTTATTCACTTTCTGTTCCTGGTTTGCCTCGCGTGACTTGGATTATTTCTTTATTTTGAGTAATTTGTCACAAACTAAATATTTGCCAATGTGCTACAAGATATTCAGAGATGATCAGTTGAATTATTTTTATAACACAAGTTTGATTGTTTTGTTGCAGGCAGTTATTGTTATGTCGAGTGACGCTAGGCAAGTCTTTCCTCCAGTTCAGTGCGATGAAGATGGCACATGCCCCCCCAGGCCACCATTCTGTGATAGGTCGACCGAGTACAGGCGGACTCTCGTTCGCAGAGTATGTGGTATACAGAGGGGAACAGGTAAGCATCTGGAGATATGGTGATAGGGCCAGGAGATATAAGATGGGGAGATGGGAAATAGGGCAAGGAGATATGAGCTATGGAGATGTAATTTGGGAGATAGGAGATATGGAGATTGGGCCAGGAGATATGAGCTGTGGAGATAGGGCCAGGAGATACGAGCTGTGAAGGTAGGACCAGGAGATATGAGCTAGGGCCAGGAGATATGAGATAGGACCAGGAGATGTAAGATGGGGAGATGGGAAATAGGGCAAGGAGATATGAGCTATGGAGATGTAATTTGGGAGATAGGAAATATGGAGATTGGGCCAGGAAATACGTGCTGTGGAGATAGGGCCAGGAGATACGAGCTGTGTAGATAGGACCAGGAAATGTGAGATAGGACCAGGAGCTAGAGCTAGGACCGGGAGATATGAGCTGTGGAGCTAGGATCTGGAGATATGAGCTGGGGCTTAGAGATACGAGATGGGGAGATATGAGATAGGACCATGATATATGAGATGGACCACAAGATATGGAGATAGGGCCAAGAGATATGAGCTATGGAGATAAGGCCAAGAGATATGAGCTATGGAGATAAGGCCAGGAGATATGAGATGGGGAGATTTGAGATAGGACCAGGAGATTTGCAGATGTGGCCTACAGATATGGAGTCAAAACGAATATAAATCTTCAAATGAAATAATATGAATTTTTTAGTGATTAAATAGATGATAAGAAAAGGTTGAAGAATAATGCAATATTTTACTACGTTTCTTGGTACAATGTTTTAAGTTTGAACTCACTCCAGGATTTATCAAGGTTTGCCAACTAAGTACCCTTGGCAGGGAAATCAGAAAACAATCCTTTTTTTTCAAAATTGTTACTTTATACATTTTGAAGATATTTGAACATTGCATTCAACATGTTAGTGTAAAACTAAATTAACAGTTGGAACTCGGAATGTTTTATACCGATTGGGGATATGTTCTAACATTGGCTGCAGACTTGGGGCTGAATATCAGCCTCTGAGCAGATCTAGATAAATACCTGAATGGATGACCACGAACAAGATATTTCACAACTGTATCTCAATCCTTCTCTTCTCCTTCCAGGCATACCCGGAGTATCTCATCTCATTTCAAATAGTCAAGCCAGAGCCTGAAACCAAGAAGTCATGATGGCCCAGCAAGACACCTGCTGTTGTATAAATTGTACATAGGACATTGTTATTATTGTACCCCACTGAAATGTGGAGATTGTGTGATTGCCTGACTGTGACCATGGATGAGTTACCTCCCTTTATATGATACATGTGTAATGCATAGTGAGCTCACGGTCGGCATTCTGTTGGAACTTTGTCCAAATGAATTTCAAATTTTGAAACACGGAAAATTTGTGTATGTGGATGCTTTTTATGTTATCTTGTGGATATTTGTTTTAATATTAGTTCAAGTCCGAGTTAAAGGATATGAAAGTCCAGCGTAATTGTCTGTGCTTCTTGAACAAAATGTGTTTGACTGTTGTTCATGTGGATATCTTTTGTGAAGGAGATGGTCATCATGAAGTATATCTGTACTTGATAAAAAATTCTCCATATGTTCTGACACTTCTGATGTTAATTGATTGGAAAAAAACACCTAACATCCGTTTTCCCCCATACATTTCTGTACATTTGGAGACGAGGCTATGAAGGAATGAATATATGTGAAGAAAAGCTCAAGATATTCCTCTCCGTCAGTGAAAGAAAAGAATTGCGACAAGATGCTTGAGATTTTTCTGTCAGTGAAGGAATATATGATTGTGATGAGATGCGTGGACCTGTCTCAGAAAGAAAATATAAACCTGATGGAATACTTGAGAGTCCTCGCCATCAATGAAGGAAGAGTATGACTGTGATGAGATTCCGCTGCATCATTTGTGATAGTGCTGTTATAAGTTGGGCATTATGCTTTGTAAACAGACAAGTCCTGCTCAAGTCTACAAGATTTAACGTAAGGAGTAATGAGACGCTAAGAAGTCACTGTGTTTCATTACATGTCGCGGAGATCATGTGAAGGGTTGCCACTCAGGATCATATAAACTGTAAAATGTGACGAGACAGATTTCTGACAACTTTGGATGTGTGTTGACCGGCCTCGGGTTACAGCCTAGTCAGCCTTGGCCTGTGTTCCTTCCAAAGTTATCTGGACTTGCCGTGTCTTGTTGATTTGGGAGGCTGTCCTTCCTGTTGCATCCAATGTAATGTCTTTCTAAAATACTTTTCTCTCTCCTCTCAACAAAACCATGCCATCCTACAACCAATACACACAACACACCCACATCCCATTGAACTTTATCCTGTAATGAATACCCTTTTTGAGTTGCATCATGGGCTGACGTCATGACGCTGTTCAAATTACATCTATTCTGATAAACAAGAACCAGTTCTTTCCAAGGTATTCTATGATGTTCGCTAACAGAGGAAAGGCCCCGACTGTACTTTATCCTCAATAAAGTACACTTTCCGAGTTAGTCATTATATGCTGACATCATGATGCCATTCAAATGGCCTCCCCTGACGATTGTCTAACGTATTCTGTCATTACTGTCAATCAAGATCAGTCTCAGCAAGACGGTCAGTTTTTAGGTTGTCAGAAATCTGTTGTGAGAGAACTTGTGTGCGAAGACTGAGGAGTGGTTTTATATGTGTTGTCTTGTGGATCAATTCTTGCTGGTGAATCTCCTATCTCTCTTCTGTATGTTCTCTCCTTGCTTTTCTCTCTGTCTTGGTAGTATGTCATCCGTTCATTCCAAATTGGTTACAGCCATAGCTTACATGACGTGCCATTAAAAAGCTTTGTGAAATTCATGCTGTTAGTATTGTGATTTCAAGAACTGTTTGAGAGTCAAGCATTTCAATATTTTCACTCTTTTTACAGATCGTAAGAGATGTAAGGAATCAATTACTGCTTTAATAAACATTTTTATATGAAGATTTTGTTTTTGTAACTTGATATTTAGCGCTAGTATAGGTGGTTATGACAATGCCAAAATACTGACATTACTTTCATCAGGCCAGTGATAGAAAACTGAAATTGCCCTAATTGCATTACCGTACATTGTGTTTGTGTTCAGATAAAGATTTATATCATTTTTGTCAAATATTTCAACATTTGCTGATCATTTGTTTGTTTACTTCCATAAGAGTGTAAATGTTGATTAAATACAAGTAATTAATAGCTCCAGTGAATTGGACTTATATTCCATAAATTGTGTTGTTCTAGATGGATTGCTGTGAAACAGCCAGGGTAATTTGCACAAAGCCGTCTTACTGCTACGATTATCTTATGTTACTGCTTTCATAGCACCAAAATAGCTTTGGATCTTAGCACTTTGGACACAATAAACCCCATTCCTAACATTGTTTTCTCACGTTAAGCCGTCACACCGTGATAAAACTGGAATAATGTTCAAAGCGGTTTAAGGGGCGGTCGGGTAGCCGAGTGGTTAAAGTGTACGCTTGTCACGCCAAAGATTCGGGTTCGATTCCTGACATGGGTACAATGTGTGAAGCCCATTTCTGGTTTCCCCCGCCGTGATATTGCTGGAATATTGCTTAAAGCGGCATAAAACCATACTCATTCACTCAAAGCTGTGTTAAACTCACTCACAAATTGCCATGATAATGCTAAGTTTGAAAGCTTTCAAGCTCCGTTCCACAAATCTCTGATTTTAGTAAATGTCTCTTGGGCATGGGAAATAAATTCATGTGCAATGACTGTTACGACTCCCGTAATTTAAAATAAAGCCGCTGGAGCCTTGGACTCCTACAAAGAGAACTTAGTTCTAAGACAAATCAAACTCCTATTCACTGAAATTATTTCAGTACTGACACTAAAATCACTTTGTATGACATGGTGATCTTAGGGCTAAGACTTGCTCTAATTCCCATCTTTTTAATTCAGTCATTGTGCTAAGATTGTTTTGTGCAATTGGGCCCTGGTCCTGTCCCACAAAGAGGTCTAGTGCTACAACGATTGTCAGCCTCACTCTAAACAGACTTACGATCATCGTAGTGCTAAGATGGGTTTATGTATGAATGTTGGCCCTGGCCTACAAGGAAGTCTAAGCATGCTTAGTGCTACAATTGTCACCTTACTGTAAGATTGACTTACAATCATCGTAGCACTAAGATGAGTTGGCTCGAGTTGGCTCAAGTGGGCCCTAGCCTTGACCTACAAAGAGGTATTAGCATTATGACCATTGTCCACCCCTACTCAAACATAGACAGTCATTGTAGCGCTAAGATTGTTTAGTGCAAGTGGACCCTGGACTTCAGTCTGCAACTATGATGTTTGTGACACCAGCCATGTTAACAGTTGAAAACTGCCTGAATGATGAAGTGTGTGTCAACTTACGATGCAGTTACTTTGAATCCTGCCAGCTACAAACAGCCTGTCGAATGGTGACTGCTTGTTACCCATGGCTTACTATAAATACTCTGCCTGTTCTCTTGTAAGAAGACCTGATGTGGTGGCATTGAGGTGTTCATTTTTGAGATTCCACAGAGTTATTAAACCCATCTGTATTGTTTTTTTATGTGGTTCCATAGCAACAAAAGCTTCTAATTTGAAACTGATCAGTAACCTGCATACATGGGCATTTTAGCATTTCCTCGTTTTGAGGGATTGAGAAGTTAATGACAAACTTATACATGGAACAAAGCCATATGTTTCAACACTGCCATTTTGTGGTCAGTACCTCAATTCATTGAAATGATACTTAATCATGAATTTTAACAAAAGAAATAAATTAATGACTACTGGATTCAACTGATTATTTCATCATCAGATATAGGGACCGGCAATTTGATATTTGGTATGTAGGTAGGGGCGATGAACAATTTTAAGATGCTGGGTTTGTTATAAAACATGCTAAAACTTTTTTCAGTTTCCTTTTTGTTGCAATTTTGTTTTTAAAAAATCAAAATTATAAGTCAACCTTAAAAAAATAATTATTTCCCCTCTTGCAATTTGCGACTTGATAATGAATATCTGTAAGGCAAATATTGGTATGACCTAATTTATTAGTTCTATGATATCACAGTATATATTTCCATCTGACATCCATTAAGAGGTGTGAAATGTACAGCATCACTGGCCAACTGATGATGGAATGACGAGGAAATCCATGAATATCAATGTGTCTCTGTACAATGCTTCTGTTGTATGTCTGTTTGTGTATGTTATGTACAAGGAACGGTACTGATTGCACTACCCTCAGTTGTCAATTATGTTATATAGCTGTCAAATGCTTATTTGTAGTGGCTGCAGCAATAGCTCCACTTTGCTCATTTCTCTGTATGACTAGCTTCGCTGGATAAACACTGTTGAAATGAACACAATTGTGTTCCATTAGGTCTTGTCACTTCAAGTGCAAAATCGGATAGGGTAATGTTTGTTAATAACTTGGGACGTTTTCTCTAGACTCGTTAATTTCTCTATTTGATCATTACTCAATATTGCAATTGTTCCTTTGTGAAAATGTCAAAGGCTAGGTATGGTCAATAATGCTGTAAAATTGCATTTGACAAATACGGTATACAGATATTGCTTTAGAGAATGATGGAAACAATGAAACTTTAGATGATTGATTTGTTTATGGTGCAGGATCCACTTTACTCTTTGATTGTCATCAACTCGTTTCATTGTCAATACGGGGCGGTCGGGTAGCCTCGTGGCTAAAGCCTTCGTCGTCACGCCGAAGACCCGGGTTCGATTCCCGACATGGGTACAATGTGTGAAGCCCATTTCTGGTGTCCCCCGCCGTGATAATGCTGGAATATTGCTAAAAGCGTCATAAAACCATACTCACTCACTAATTGTCAATGCCTTTGTAAGGTACTGGCTCAAATGATAATGTAGAGAACTTTGTTGAAATTGAGAAGTCTGGAGTAGGATAACATTCTTTCAGGCAACCATGTTCTGATTAAAGGGACAACATTTTGAAACTATGTTCAAAATCCTTTCATATTTGGCATAAGGCAGTGGTGGACACCAATAATAATATTGTTTTTATTTCACAATTATTTACCAGAAATTTCCATGGTAATTTTAAAATGCCAACCGAGAATAAAGGCCACTTACTGATTTATATTGAACCTAATGGTTAATAATGCAAATTTTTGAAACTTTTTTCCCATCAATTCCAAGTGTGAGTTTGGATGGGTAGATTGTTAAGAGTAATAAATGTCTTTTTACACCCTGAACTTGAATGTGGTAAATGAAAAATAGAAATAATTACTGTAACTGGCCTATCGTTGTGGTACAAAATAAAATATCTTAAATAAAAACTGTTACCCGCATACGTTTGTGCCACAACATCTTTAATATATGCTGTTACTAGCAGACACTTGACTGGTGTCTCTTCCTGTTTGTTACACTGATCAGCTGTTAACCTTTTAAATGTATGTACAACTGATGTTCTCTCTCATGCTTCTTTGAAGCTAGTCACTCAGTGAACTGAAGCTATACCAATTGTTGCTTGTCAATCATTGTTTGGTGGAAATTATATAAAACAACAAAGGGGGTGCACAATAAAATGTGTTTGTGTTTAATATCCGTTTGAGTATTTTTTTGGCTCTGTGGATTTAAGGACCCCAGGATGAGTGTGGTGTGAAGCAAAGGTAATTAATCTTGGACAGGTGGGGTGCACAGGTGGCCCAGTTGTCTAACATGCTGCAATTTGCTTCCCTTTGACACACCAGAAACCTTTGATCGTGGGTTGTAATCATAGTTTGGCCTGATTATGTTTCTTGGTTTGTCAGCATCATACCCATGCTCACATGTTTCACCAAATAAATGTCGGAGACATGCAACACTTCGGACTTTCCTCCCTCATAAAGATGACATGCCCTGATATAACTGGAATACTGTTCAAATGGTCTTTAGAACCAACACTCATTCACTCACTCTTGGACATGGGTAAGATGCTCTGTTATTACAATCCACTGATCCTCCACGATACACAGCCATGCTCCTTGCTTTCATCAAAGAGGCAATTTCTATATCTTGAATCAGTTTGGTCTTTCCTCTCAAAATTGAGTTTGCATGCATTGATATAACTGAAATACTGTTCAAAGGAGAGTTGAACCCAACTTACTCACTGCTGGAATAGCTCAGCAGATGTCAGGTTTGCTTCACAGATCTGAGTTTGATTCCCCCAAATGGTAGTATTTGAAGCTATTTTGATTTCAATTGACATGTATCACAATACTGACCACAATATACAACACATCACGATACTGACAACAAAATACAACTCACGTCACAATACTGACCATGAGATACAAAACGTCACAATTATGATATCAAGTGAGTTATCTGACTATAAAAGTCCAGCTCCACCCATGCCGAACCTGCCTTGAATTCCGGGGTTATTACTTGGCTGGAGTAACGAGTCTATGCATTGTCCAATCAAATCGCGTTACGAACATCTGGCTTGTAAACAATATGGACTTCAACGTGCAGATTTTGGTCAACTGCAGGATTTGCAAAGGGCGTGTACCGTCAACAAGGCGTCGACAGATATTTTGCAAATCTTTTCATGTTTTTTTATCAAGGTGCTCAGGTAATTTGATGCACTTCTTCGGGGTCAGACCCGTTTTTATTTTAATGTAGATCTTGATTATCGATGAGATCGTCTTGACGGGGCGCCGCCATTTTGTTTGGAGCAAATGCAAGTGATATGAGAGATGGAAGCTGATTAGTCAATAGGAGGGACATGAAAGGGACATAACTCGTAATCGCCACTGCTGGCGCTACGATCGAGCCTGGAAACTGGACTTTTATAGTCAGTTAACTCCCTTGCCTCGGGAAGCTGAAATACTTATACAGTTTACAACACACAAAACTGAGCACAGCACGTCATAATGTATTATCTGTTTTTTTCGTTGCTTTCTTGTCCAAATGTGTTTTTGATGGCCCCTGTCGTTTACCCATGAACTCTCGCGAATGTAGTGCTTTTTTCATGGCCTCCCTGACCATCAATACCTACCAAATCTTCGCAAACCTCCCCTTGAATACGCGACATTACTCAACAAATTCTGTCCTACCTATACGCCTATCTCTCTCTTTCTATATGTATATTATGTAGGGTTGCGGTTTGTTACGGCTTTAAATGCACACAGTCTGACGTCTATTATTAACAACGCTTGACTGCAGACAAAAGAAATCATTCATCGGATATTTATGGAAATAGCATAATTTGCTGAATAAATACAATTATCGAGACACCTTTTATGTTGAAACATGATATATATAGTCATTCATTAATCTCTAACGCCTGCGACACCACACCGTCTGCGCTAACCTTGCCGCATGCAATCCCAGCATTATTTCACTGACCCAGAAACTTACACAGTTGCTATGTCTGAGTGCTTGTTTGCCATTTAACGCCGCACTCAGCAATGTTCCAGCTATATGACAGCGGTCTGTATATAATCGTGTCTGGACCAGACAACATAGTGATTTACATCATGAGCATCAATCTACGCAACTACGATACGATGACATGCATAAACAAAGCCCAGAGCCAGACCAGCCGATCCCGTTAGTCGCCTCTTTCGTTGAGTGAGCGAGTGAGTGAGGTTTTACGCCGCTTTTAGCAATATTCCAGCAATATCACGGCGGGGACCACCAGAAATGGGCTTCACACATTGCACCCATGGAGGGAATTGAACCCGGGTCTTCGGCGTGGCGAGCGAACGCTTTAACCACTAGGCTACCCGACCGACCACCTTTCGTACAGCATGTCAGTTGGAGTTAACGCCGCTTCGTACAGCATGTCAGTTGTATCACGCCATTGGAGAATGCCTAACATGCTTTAAACCAGGAGTAGATGCTGCAGACACACCAAGGGTCATAGTCGGGGACAAGCTGGTATTCGAACCCACAGATCCAGGCACGATGAAAGGGGGCAATGAGCTGTCGTCACACGTCCATATATGGATGAGTGAGTGAGTTTGGTTTAACCCGCTTTGCACAGTATTTCAGTTATATCATGGCCAGTCAGTTGTTAGGGGAATAATCGGGGAGAACATGTGATTGAAACCAACGACACGCGGGACCTGGTACGCCTAAGGGACGCAACTCTGCACAAAGACATTCCGTTTCTTTAGACCACTGGGTCACTTGTTCCCTACAATAAACAAATGACTGAATTTGTGAGAGAATCGTGTTTTATGACGTCAGAAATATTACAGTTACGTCATTACCGCTTGTAATATCATTGCGTTCAAAACTCAGACCCTGGCGTGACAGTAAGCATGCAGACCACACACACACGTGCCCTCTACACCAGACTTCGGCATGACAGTAAGCATATAGACTCCCCACACACATGCCCTCCACGCCAGACTCCGGGGTTGACAGTAAGCGTCTAGACCACCGTCACACGTGCCGTGCCCTCTACACAAACTTTGGCATGACAGTAAGTATGCAGACCACCCACACACTTGCCCTCTACGCCAGACTTCGGCATGACAGTAAACATGCAGACCACCCACACACTTGCCCTCTACGCCAGACTTCGGCATGACAGTAAACATGCAGACCACCCACACACTTGCCCTCTACGCCAGACTTCGGCATGACAGTAAACATGCAGACCACCCACACACTTGCCCTCTACGCCAGACTTCGGCATGACAGTAAACATGCAGACCACCCACACACTTGCCCTCTACGCCAGACTTCGGCATGACAGTAAACATGCAGACCACCCACACACTTGCCCTCTACGCCAGAGTTCGGCATGACAGTAAACATGCAGACCACCCACACACGTGCCCTCCACGCCAGAGTTCGGCATGACAGTAAACATGCAGACCACCCACACACGTGCCCTCCACGCCAGACTTCGGCATGACAGTAGGCATGCAGACCATCCTTCATTGTCATTATTTTTACCACCGTCACCAATAAAAAATAATCCAGAAGAACATAAAGGGGCAGCTCATTTATCATGGAGTGGTGGCAGTGGTTATGTTAATTTTTGCATGACACTCCCGCCTTGTCTTAAGAGTTGACTAACGGGATCGGGTGGTTAGGCTCGCACGCTTGGTTAATGCATGTCATCGTATCCCAAGCGCGTAGATGCTCATGATGTCAATCACTGGATTGTCTGGTCCAGACTCGTTTATTTACAGCTGGGATATTACTGAGTGCGGCGTTAAATAACAAACAAACAAACGAAACAAACAAAACATAATTTTCTATTATATATATATTCAAAAAAACAACAACCCAGTACTGTGTCATTTTTTTCATGATACCCCGCCTTAAATCTCAACTCCACCCCCACCCCACCCCCACCCCCCACCCCCTTCCCCAACCAATGCCCAGTCCCTAACCTGAATAAGTGCCTGATCATTTTTAATAATACAGAAGCCTGTTCATAGTTCCCAGGTGGTCTGTGAAAGAAATACACGAACAGTTCATTATCCTTAATTAATCCACTTCAGTTAACGTCCCCGCTTTCAGCAGTATCACATTAACGGCCACGTCTTATTGCTAATTCCTCTGTAAGCAATTTCCTTATGGTATGCCCTCTTTTACAACCATGAAATACAATAACACGAGAAGCACTTTTTTTGCACTGAGACGCGGCTTGCATTATTAAAGATTACGATTCACTTGCAGGTGCTTGTTTGAATCTTGTAAAGTGCTTTGTGACCAGAAGTCTCTTCGTCACCACCACATCCGCTCATGTGCAGAGCCGGCATTGTTTCTAGGAACAACCATCAAGATATCCCTTGATACATCTTTTTTATTTATCTGAATGTGGGTTTTTTTAGAGCTAAAGGATACGGTTTGTATGTTTGAAGAACATTTACTCTCAGAGGTAATTTTTAAAGTATATATACTCTCCTGAACTTCCCAGAAGCCATCACTGCTAATGCGTCCACACGTTCTAAGATGGTGAATGGGGTTTTGCAAAGAAATTAACATGGATTTCATTCCTTGTAAAAGAAACCTTGCCAAAATTAAGGCATTAAGCAGCCATCACAGCAGCGTAATCCAAACAGTTAGAAATGGCTCGATCTAAATGTTTATCCCTGGCGTCTTGATTCTAAAAAAATATACTACTTTTTATTTATTTATTTGAATCCACCGACTGCAAATTTAACAAATTTTGCATACAATTAAAAATTTAAAAGCATTCTTTTTTATTTCCTTTTGAGTCTCTTAACAAAATTCACCTTGTTCAGTAGTAAAAACAACCCGATCGATATGGTAAGAGAAGCTTCCATGCTACTATTCAATGAAAGACACACCACAAGCAGCTCGTTTTCTTTCATTACGTTTTATTTTCACATCACCGACATTACTTGTAAAAGATCAGTTAAAAACACACACGTTTTTCCAATTGCATTTTTGTTTTCTTTCCCCCATCGACGCTGTTTCGAAAAAAAATATATCCATAAACTAAGAAATGGGAAAGAGGTACCGACATACATATTCACCATCAATCCTCCCACAACCAACGGTGCCCCCAACATCTACAACCAGTTGACACACCTTGACGGATGCTTCTTCGACGAGAACACGTGACAGC